CTGCTGTTAATGAACTTATCAGTGACTCTGTCAGTGATTTTGATAATGACTTCTTTTTCAGAGTACTTCATACACATTGACAGAGATCTGTGTTAGATTCATGATCTTGTGAATATCATCTTCATGAACTCTATCATTGTTAGAAAATATTAAGCTTCTGTTTCAAGTGTTTAATAAGATATCTTGTTCAGATAGTCAGGCAAGTTCTAACATAAGATTATAATCAAGATTATCAACTTCATATGTATAGACATTCTCACATTGATGTTCTCTTACATATATGATCAGCTTCATCATGTAATGAGTACAAACATCTTTCAGATTATCAAATCCTGTGAGAAGTCAGAGTTTTGATAAAGAGATACACTGAAGATTATGATATCTTTCAACTGAAGATTTTATCATTGCATAGTGATATAGATTACTGTCTATCATGGCTTTCATATTATACATGTTATCAATCAAAGTAGATACAAGAATCACATCTATTATCATCTTCTCTTCAAATTGCTGTCATCTGATCTCTTCAAGCTTCTGTTTGTGAATTTGAATAGAAGCTAATCTTTTCTCTGTTTCATCAGAACATTCTCATAGTTATTCTCTGAATCTTTCTCTAATGTAATATGGTTGGCATGAACAGGCACTGATTCATTCTTCAAATGAGAAGATGCTGATCTTTCTCTCAAGTATGAAGATACATAGATTGATCAGCAGTTGAAAGCAATGTGTTCTGATCAGTTATAGTTGATACACACTTCATGTTAATATTGATCAGCAACTTCTTCAGAAGTGATCTCAGAAACTCAGAAGCCTGTTTGAACAGTGAAAACTCTTGCTTGTGTATAGACATTTGAATCTATTCAGTTCATGACCTCTGTATCATTGTTCTTCAGTGTGAGTGTATGAGTGACTGAGGTGTAATATCTTCTGTCACTGTTCTGTATACTCTTGAGCTTGATAAGATGATTATTCATTGTTCAGAGCTGTGTGCAGAAGTCTTCATAAGTCTGATCTTCATCTATGCTTACAAGGGTCTGTAAGAGTTTAAAAGTTAATGTCTTCTTGAGCATGCTTATCTTCATTTGATTCTCTCAAGATTGATTATCTACTTCTAGAATCTTAATGTTGAAGTCAGAGATGAATATTGTAAAAGAAGTGTTTCTCTGTCAGACACTCTGTAATCAATCTAATGCTTTCTATTGTATGACAGTATCTCAAAACAGAATATTAAGATATTTTATAATATTATCAGGCATTTGCAATGCTGATTCACATGCTTTCATTTATAAATGAAACTTCTGTTTTATGTGATCCTTCAATCATTCATTGATATATCAATCTTGATTAGTTAATAAACTGATGAAATCTTCATCTACACTCAGTTTTACAAGCATTTCCATTCTTCATGATGAGTAGAGAGTGAGATCAGAAGTATTGAAATATACAGAAGTATCTAAGCATTCTTTCAGCACTTTTGTATTTAATTCTGTAGATGCTGAAATTGCATGAGTTTCTTGTTATAATAATTGTTAAATCTCTTCATATTGATGTTATTAAGTTGCATGCATATCAGCTATTTATTGTTATTGTAGTTTCAACATTACTTGAAGTCACTGTGACACTGTGTCTATGCTTATATTTGAGAGTTTCATATTATTATTAGACATGATTATATCAATTATCAGATATATAATCATATAAATATCTTATACATCCGAGTGTCAGAACTCTCAGGTCTTTTACTGATATTCTCTTATAAGATTTTATTCTCTTTATAAGATCTTATTACAGAGTCACAGTAACTGATAAGCAAGCTTCTATCTGAGAACTATCTGAGAACTCAGTGTCTACTTAACTGTGTTTTCTCTTTCTTACATGTCATTATGTGTTTAAATATCTCTTAATGAATAATCATTTCTGATGATTATTATTATTATTATTCTTCTATTATACTCATATGCAAGCAGAGCTTATGATGAGTCCTTGCGTGATGTTAAATACAGGTCAAGTGTTGATTATACAGAAGGAAATACAGGTGTTGAGACCATGCCAAGATAACAAGAACATAGGAAATACAAAGGAGTGACAATTAGATACATGTGATAATAACTTCCCAGCCCAGGAACATAGAGCGATTTTATTGGAGCAATTTGTACACCTCTGTATTTATTAGAAACCTGAGGTGCTTGGGTTCCGGATTTAATGTATCCCCTGCGGGTTTCGAACCCACACACCTTGGTTTCCCACGCCAAGGCGCTACCGGGTGGCCGCATTAATCATTCGGCCACCGGGGCATCATTTCTGATGAGAATACAATGTGTGAATAATTATTTTCTAATAAGAAGACAATGAATGTTTTTATAGTGTAAGAGGTCTACACTGAATAGATCAGTATAATATTGATAGGTCTTATATAACAAAGATAAAAATATTAGAGAAGAAAAGAAAGAGAAAGTGTGAGAATCAGTGATTGAGATGAATATTTATACATGTATATAGTGATGTACGCGGTGAAGCTTAAGAGTGGAAGAATATACATGCATTTGTAGCAGCTGAGAATCAGTGATTGAGAATGACTGAGAATTGAAGTGTGTGCTATGCATGTTCATAGTGACTGAGGATCAGTGATCAGAAATGACTGAGAATCGGAGTGTATACTACACGCATTTGTAGTGGCTGCAGATCAGTGATCGGGAATGAAAGAATCTATGAAGTGTAATGAAATAGTCTATATAATTGATCGGGCGCAGCCCGCCACAGTTGCTTATATTAACTAGAAGAGATATTCATTTCAGTGATTTCTTATTAATTGTATAATATCTATTGTTATATTATTATATCATTATATAATTTCTGATTTCTGATTTTTATTATTATTGTACAACTTCAGTGATAATTATCTCTCTTTTATTCTTCTGAGTAGAGAGCAGTCTTCTTTGAATATAATTCACTACTCTTATCTCTTTTCTCACATCTCATTTATTCACATACATGGCATTTGTCTGAGTGTGAAGTTTTTCTTTAATAAGTAAAGCAGTGTCAATCAGATGCTCTTCTACTCACTACTTCTTTATACACTATCTTTTAAGACATTTTAGTATCACACTGATATGATAACTATAAATGACTTCATAGATAGAATTGTCATACTCTGAAGAAGTCTGTACTTCTCACTGATTTTTATACATGCTATCAAATGTGATTCAAAGATTGCTTGAGTTAGTGTATAATTACAGGTGTATACTGACTTCTTATATACATTATACTAAATTAATTAGTGGCTGCTATGGCATGATAACTATAAATCACTTCATAGATACAATTATCATGCTCTGAGAAAGTCTGTACTTCTCACTGATTTTTAGACATGCTATCAGATGTGATTCAAAGATTGCTTAAGTCAGTGTATAATTACAGATGTTTACTGACTTCTTATATACATTATACTAAATTAATTAGTGGCTGCTATAGCCTCTTCACATTCATAAGCATATTCAGAAGTGTAAGCATGTTCGGAAGCAGCCGCGTTATTATCCGGCAGTTGTACATTCTCCTGAATCACAATCTTTGTTATCTTTTTTACTTTTTAATCTTTCTATTAATATTACTGTTTTTACTACTCTGAAGTTTTTTTCATTACTGTTATTATTTTTATTTCTCTCTTACTCTCTTTATTAAATTTATTATTATTATCAGATTAATCTTAGTTATACAGATTACAGAGTCAGCTGTTTTCATAAATTCAAATAAATATATATAATAATACTGTATAAGACTATATTAGAGTGTAGTTTACACAGAGAAGTTAATTATTTTATAAAAATTTATCTAAGTTATACAGATTGAAAAGCAGAGAGATATTTAAATAAATAAATTTATAAAATATATCTAATATTATATTATAATATTTTTTTGTATGAAAAAGTTAATTTTCTATAATAAAGAAAAATATATATATCATAATATACTTTTTCTGATAATGAATAGAATATTAATTATCTAATAAAATATTTAATTATTCAGGTTTAATCTTTAGTTTATATAACTTAAATTTATTTTCAAATCTTTATTCTTTTTTTCATTTTCATTTTTTTATATATTTTTTATAATATTTATATTTCTTATACTCTTCTCTTTATTTTATTCTCTGTATTTATAGTATATACTGCTACATACTCTGTAATATAATTTTATATAATGATATATATAAACTGATTAATACAATTATAAATTTCATATTTAATTTTATTTAATCTGATCTTATACATTTCTTGACAGAAATCTCACTAAGATTAATTATTAAAAAAACATACAAAGTAACTATTAATCAGATTATAAAATGAGATTATAACTTAGAAAAATTAAAAAAGTGATTTCATTTAATTTTATTTAATTTCATTCTTAGTATAAAGTTATTATTTTTAGAGATTTTAAAGTTTTTTTAAACTATTTTTAATTTTTTAAAAAGTAACATTTTTTGATAACACTCATATAAGATTTAAAGTTATTTAAAGCAATAAAATGAATTCAAATTGAGAAGTGAAAATCTTGCTCATTTTAAAAATGTAATAAGAATAGACAGTAGATCTCACTGAGACTGTATAAAACTACTATCTAGTCTTAATACTGTGTAATGGAATCAGTCAGTTTGATAATGAGACTATCAAATATTCTGGTTCTGATTCAAGACACAGTTACACAGTCAGTCTAGTCGTGTGCATCTCTTTGAATTCATGAATGAGATTGAACAGCTGACTCTGCAGCCTGTACAGCTCTGATTAATCCGATAATGATGATAGAGATGATACAGAGTGGAAGAGAGTAGTAGAAGCAGTAGAGGTGATGATGATAGACGAGGTAGAAACTGGAAGGGGTCGAAGAAGTGGTAATGAAGGGGTAGAAGTAGAGTGTGGAAGTGATAGAGAGGGCTGTAGGGCGGCAGAGGCGGTGGTGGTGGTAGAGGGGGTAGGGGGTGGTAGGGGTGGTAGGGGTGGTATGAGAGGGGGTACAGGTAGGGGGTCGAAGTGGTAGGGGAAGCTGCGGGGTGGTAGAGGCGGTGGTGGTGGTAAAGGAGGTAGGGGGTGGAAGGGGTGGAAGGGGTGGTAAGAGCGGGGTAGGGGTAGAGGGTGGGAGTGGTAAAGCGGGCTGCGCAAGCAGCAAAGCGAGCGTAAGCAAGCATTTGATGCTTGTACTTATGAAGTTAAAAGAAAATGAGAAGACAAAAGTCTCGCGTTACAGTATTGTATCTCTAGAGAAATATGATATTACGAGGAGAAGCAAGGCAAAGAAAAAAGTAAATAAAGTAACTAATAGAGAGTATAAAACAAGCATGGTTTGTTTACGCGAGGTCATCACACAAGCAGGCATGAAAACAGTAAGTTGGGAGTGAACTAAATCTCAAACAAACAGGATAAAAAAGTAATAACTAATAGAAGAAATAAAACAGCAATTGTCATTAATAGCCAGTATGTAAAGAAACACGTAGCAGGAAAGTACCTCAAGCCAAATCAACGACTTAAGTCTCATCTCAAGTCTAATCAGAAGGATATAAATGATTGAGAGAGAGAAAGAGAGAATGAATGAACGAGACATTAAGAGATGAGAGAGACAAAAAGGAAATTAAAGGGACAAACGAAAAAAAAAACCTCAAATGCCCTTCCCATGCATGTCCACGTCAGTCCCGTAAATTGTTGGTGTACTGAAGAATACATTCGGGACATCTTTTGAGGACTTTGTAATATAAAAGTAAGAAATTTACGAGGAAAAAAGTGCCTCGAAGAAATGCTCGTGTTTGCGTATTTTCCAGCACGCCCTTTTTATTACCTCTGGCTATTTATTAGAATAGCCGGGCCATCCGATTATTGTTCGATCCTGTGGATTTGGGCGCTGGATCATTCAAAGCCTTTCCAGTTAGACTGGTAGTGGTATCATTAATGTCTTGGCCCGTTGGTTGGAGTAGGCTCAGGTCGTTAATGAGAGCTGGGAGGGAAATTTTGTTGATGCGGGGACCAGCAACAACAGGTCCGACGATAAGGCCAAGGAAAACAACGAGCATGAAAAAGTAGAGAATGGCAAAGCGAATAACCCTTCTCTTTCGGAGCTTGGATTGTTTCAGAGAATAGATTGGAGGGCGGATTTGGCGGCTACAGTTCATGGTTAGCTTTCAGTTTCCTTTATTTTATTTTTAACTTTTCTAATTAACGGATGCGGGAAAGGTACATCATACCTTGGACGCAGCCAGAAGAGCATTACTGAGTGACCCTTGTCAACATATGGGATGCACAGTGGCGGCAGCATGAAGAACAAAAGAACGTGTCCAAGGATAAAGTCCGCAGCGAACATTCCAAGTTCCGTGATCTTGCAAAGAAATTCACGTCCTGGTTGAGACATCGAGTGCCAACCCATGCTATACCATTTACCAGTCCACCATGCGACATTCGAGGTGTCGTGACGGAATTCTCGTGTCAGAGCGAGTGAAATGATCAATTTGTAAAAGAATCTCTGGACAGCGACTACCGCGATCATTCCAAGCAGTGCTTTGGCGAAAACCCATCCTTCCAAGAAGAACATAACTTCGAAGAAGGCCAAGAGCATAACAACAGCGACACCATGGGCGATAGCTGCGAGTACAGAGCCAAACTTCTTGCAACACATACTCAACACGGGACCCATGCAGCAAGCCATTGCGAAAAGAATCGCAAGGCAGCCGGCATTGATCGCGATGGGAGCGAAAGCGACGATGGCGAGTCGGATCAGAGAACTAGTAGGTTTTGCATCCTTGACTCCCGTCTGAGCATTGATGAAAAGATACGGAATGAGAGTAACGGCCACAAGGACAAGGGGTCCAACAATTTCGCTGAAGAAAATATTGGTGAGCTGTGCCCGAGGAGCATCGCCAGACAGCTTCTCTGAAGGAGTTCCGAGAACTTTGCGCTTATAACCAGTGATCCGAGTACGCGAGAGCCGACAAAAGGCAATCCATGAAGACGCGTGTGAACGAGAATTGCCACGAGAAAGCCACCGCAGGTAGTCACGGTAATCAATGAAGAAATCGTTCCAGGCAAATTGATGAGGGTTGAACAGGAATGGTGAGATGCAAAGGGCAAGAAGTGAAGCCCAGAAGTAGAGTAGCCACCCAGCCCAAACAGTCAGCGTTGAGAACAGCAGCATCATCAACAACCTCGCGCCAAGATATATGGACGGACCAGCGAAACGAGAGTAGAGTACGCCGAAAGGAATACGAGCAGTAGCAAACCCACGGCCGGTACCGATGTATCTAGCACCTCCGAATGACAAGTTGTTATGCAGTGAGTTGGCGTAGATCTGACAGACAAACACTTCGAAGAAAGGAGATAGCGATCCGAAGTGCTTCGCAAGACGAGTAAGCGCACGCCAGGCTCCTCTTTCCGTAAGTTCCTGAACAACCAATGGAAAGAAAGACAGTAAGAACACGATGCAAATGGAAGCAATGCAACGGTTAACCCAGGCCTGGATGGGATCTGTGTCCGCGCATCCGGTAGGGAGCAGGCGATCGGTAATTGGAACTCCTTTCTTCACGATACAGGGGATAGTTTGGTTGCGCAAAGCACCGAGATTCGTCAAGCAAATCATGAACATCTGCACGGAAAACATAATGAAAAGGTTGTTGATGTGGAAACCAGGATGCGCATAGTAGAATGACAAGAAGCGATCGAGCGGTAGTTGCGTACCCAAGTAGTAGTATTCTCGAGACAACATCTGTTCACCCATACCAGTACCAATTTTGGTGGTGAAATTGAGAACGGAGCCAAAGCCAAGATCACGACCCTTTCCGCACTGATAATATTCGCAATGCTTAATCCGGCCACCACGGAGAAGCGCATTCATACCGGCATAGATATCCTCGTTGAGATGTAATCCCTTTTGTGCTTTCGAAACACCACCTCGTGTGGTCATGAATATGCCGTTGAGGAAATCAGGATGACCATAGTGGAGCTTGCCACCAATTTGAGCAAGTGTTCGAGCAAAGAGGGTACCGAAAGTCTGTTCCTTGCCTGCAGCAACATCACCAAGGATTCCAATATTCTCCGAAAAGATGTATTCGCGAGCGCCAAGGATTGCAACCGGGTTGGTTTTGGCAGGAGGGAGTCCGGGAACGTATGGCGAGACATTCTCCGGATTCATCTCCTCAAATTCGGCAAGAACACTGCGGATCTTCAAACATTCCTCCAGATAGTTATCCTGATTAGCGTCAATGAGCTGGATATATTCACCACGGTAGAAAATTATCGCATGGTTCTGATTATCGGATTTCCCATCTCCAAGAATTGGATTACCAGAAAGCTGAATTCTGAACTTCGGGCGGCGTAGTCCATTTTCCATGATCTCAGAATGGCCATCGATCAGGGCAGAGTATAGTCTGGGTTCCTCACCCTCGTTAGCAGGTGGCTCCTCATCCAAATACGCAATTTGAAGATCCGGGTAAGCTCTGAGTAAGAACTCGGTGTTTTCACGTTCTTCCTTGTTAAATTTTGCAAACCGTTGCATAGAGACCACGATCCTGAACTTGCGGCGAGCCATCCTTTCCAATTCCCTTTCGAGCTTCTCTGAATTGCCACCGAACATTTGAACAACTTCGGGGTTTTCTACACGGTACAGAAGCTTAATCGCACGGCTGTAGTTCATGAAACCGGAAATGGTACGATACAAAGTTTGAGAGCGAAGCGAAGCCCAGATGCGAGTCCGAAGGGTATACTCTGGTGCAGCGGATTTGAAGCCGATGCAGTAGAACGGAAGGTCATCGATTTTCGTTTTAGCTGCGTCCTTTTCACTTTTCTCGTCTCCATTGAATTGAGAGGTTTCATCGGCCAGAATTTTGGTATCCTTGACAAAGCAGTCCCATTCGTGTGGATGAAGTTGCTTAAGGTATTCTAGGAGCGTCACACGGGAGTAGGGCTCATCCTCGCGAATGATTTCACGTAGGGAAAGAAGAATCTTTTCACTATAGTGGGGAATAAGGACCGTGAATGTAGGCATGTTGTCAACTGGCACTGGCTCAGGAATCGGAGTTGAGAGGGATTGGGCAAAGAACGAGATACGACGTTCTGCCTCGCTCTGGGTCGGAAAGAATTCTGTCTTGAAGGAATTATCTTCTTGCGATACAAAGAATGTAGGAGCCCGTAGTGTCCGTTTTCCTTCCTGTTCCGAGGGGACCTGGTGATAGAGGAGTTTCTGAACATGATCGATCGCCAGCAAGTGCTCTCTATACATCGAGATAACAATTGCGTTCCAAACCTGTGAGATGAGGACTTTGGGCTTATATTTGATTTCCATGTCGGTAGTTGCAAGGACCTTCGAGTAAATTCGCTTCGGTAAGCGGGAGAAAATATTTCTCCAAGGAGTCCAGATAGATACCCCGAGGTAGAATGAGCGGGCGACTGAAAAGACAGCGTTGAGAATAACATAGCATAGGTAGGTATCAAGGAAGAACAAGCTGAGGTCGGTGAAGAACATGAGACCCAGCAGGATCCTGGGTTGTGCTTTGCAAAGAACATCCGCCGACGCTCCAAAAAGTTTATCACCAGCGCACTGGTTGATCTTCATCTGTGACAAGATCCGGATTGGGTCACGGAAGGAGAGAGTCAGGAAGAAATATGACTCAGCAAGTTTAACACCGAAAACGCAGACCCATAGGCCGTAAGACATCCACATGTCATTTCCACGGAGTCTGGGGTAGCTAGCAGTAAACGTTTGGCTCGCAACGTATTGGCGAGAATTCTTTCTCATATAACTGCCAAAGAGCCCACCAAGTGGCATAACCGAGAAGAAGAAGAATGTTGCTAGGTTGACAAAGAATGATACAACACCCAAAACATGGGAAGCTTTATGATCTTGAGTAACCCCAAAGACAAAAACTGCAGGCCCGATGTTGATACAGAAAATTCCGATGAGGAAGAGCAGCCGTTTGGTCAAGTGCTGTGCACCAGCCCACGCTCGAGGAACGTAGCACCATTCGCATATTGTGGCAAAGATCATAATGAAGGTGGCCACAGCACCACCCAGCCCTGTGGCCGTCCACCGCGCGGCAGCAGTAGGGGGATTGTTTTCCAGCTGTTTGTATTCCCTTGTGTAGAGAGTCGGTGAGTTGAAAGCAGTGTAAAACCAAAAGGCACCGACGTGGATGACCCAGATACGATTAAAATTCACCATCATATGGAACCAAGATCGAGTTTCCTTGTAGGTCTTGAAAAACACTTTTTTCCAGTTAACGTCCTTGAGTTTCTGGTATCGTTGGGCGGGCGGCACGTCTACAATGCGGGATTTGTCATTCATCACAATCCGTTCGATTCCTTCGGGGTACCAGAAGAGCTGGTTGATGTCATCGTAGCCGATGATCTTATTGTGATCTTTTTCCCGTCGAACGTACTTTCCATCGAAGATCTCATATCCTTGGTCGCGACAGTATTGGTAGAGTGGGGTGATAATATCGTTGAGGTAAGTGAATTCTTCAACAGGCTCCACGCGATTTTGGCATTCGGGCGAGTGGTAGTAGTCGTCGGCACACTTAAAGATGAAGCAGAGAGCTTCGGGCATGAATCGGACCTGATTGGCTTCGCCCCAGCAGAGCAAATATAAGGCTATTTGACGGGCACGCTCATGCTGGGACATGCGATTCATCCTGGTTTTCCAGCGATACTCTGCAGCTTCCAGGCTGTTGTCTCCTTCCATATCAGCGAGTGTTTCTTCTTCATTTTTCGGGTCATTGCCTGCGGCTTTCTTGGCGGCTTTGCGAGCCTTTCTAGTTTTGCGATTGCCCTTGCCTAGTTTCATGTTGGCAAATCCTACGGCATCATCCAAGTCGAGATGAGCAGCGAAATACCAACGGCGATAGTTTGCATTATCGCCCCCAATATAGTCTGCATGAAGAGACAGAAGAGCCTGGTTGGGGGTCAAGCGGGACGCCCTAGAGTCAAGCAAGGTCATAAAATGGTCGTACATGTTTCGCATGCTATCACGCTGGAATCCGAATTTGTTGACGAGGTCCAAGAAGATGTCTTCGATCTCCTCCTTGGAGATAGGGATTTGGGCATCTGAAGTCCAGGCGGGATACGGCTCTCGGGAGCGTTGGCCAGCAGGGAGAGCGTTGCCGTAGTCGAGTCCATAGACAGGGGTAGAAGCACCAGAAGACCTGTTTGCACCGTAGGAGATCTGCGAGGAAGGAGGGCGGTAACCACGGCCGCCCATCTGGTGCTCGTTGTAGCTGTTGTACCGCTCATCACCGCGGCCATAGTAATCCATATCCGCAGCGCGCGCAGTTTCAGATTTCATGGTAAAATCACTAAAGGTTTCCGAGTCTTCTTCGGAATCATGACCTCTGCGACGCCCTGGATGGGCTCCATTGTAGTAACCCGCAGTGCCTTGATCGTAGTATTGATCGTTGTAGTACTCGTCGTCATAACCCTGCTGGTTATCGTAGTAGCCATCTTGCTGATATTGGTCTCCGTAGCTATGAACAAGAATTAACCAATCTCAAGTCAGTAACTTTCTGTAGCGGTGCTATTGGGACGGAAGGTTAATTACCCCTGGTTGTCATAGTATCCATCATGCTGCGAATAATCATTCTGCTCGTAGTATCCGTCTTGGTAGTAGGAGTCGCCTGGTGTATTCTGGGGATAGCCATCACCATACCCATTCCCATTTTGGGCCCCGCCCCCACCTTGCGGTTGGACCGACATGATTCAATGGATAGTAATTATTTTTCTCCGCTGCAATGACATATATTCACAAGCTATCACGTCAGCGATTATCCTTTCATAGGGTTATTGTTGGGAGAAGAAGGCTTCGAGATGTATCTCCATCAACAATAAGGTAACCACGACCCAGGAGGGAGAGAACACCCAACTCACACTATATTATACCCATTAATCCTGATATATGAAGGACTAGGGTGATTCCGTGGATGAAATGGGTTTATTATTGACAGAGAGATAGTCGTCAGTTGTCGAATGGCTCACTAAAGGAAACCAGGGTCGAGCAAATAAGTAAACACTAGCAGCGCAAAACGAAGGTAGATTGGCAACCCAAAACAAATAAAAAATTGAACCTGTATAATTCGTTCAGGTGCTTGCTGTGATTTTCCTTTCTTCTTCTGGGCGAGAAAGCAAAAGTGGTCGGAATTTCTTCGCGGATTTACTGAAGAACCGAACGAGTTGATTTGGCTCTTGACACAAGCGAGCGGGTTTGTGGTCTCCACGCCAACAAGGAGAGAGAGGAAGGAATCGAGGACGACGACACTTTTCTACTAGGTGGGCTCTAGCACTCGAGACCCTCTGCGTATCCGAGACAAGAATTGAGAAGCAGAGGGGGAGAGTCGAGTCGTGGATTGGGGGGGGAGAGGAAGAAAGGAGGAAGAAGAGGAAAAAGAAAAGGGATGGGTTGAGTTGGGTTCCTGTTCCTGTTGTTGTGAAACGAGCGAAGGGGGTCTGCGGTTACTCAGCCAATAGTGCCGAAACGAGAGAAGGCGCGGCGGCGGTCGTAGCAGCAAAAGCAACACCAGGAGACGGACATGAGAGAAGGATCCGTACGACTCTACTATTTCCCGTCCTCCCAGCTTTACTTTGACCCTTTGTAACGAGTGGGAAGGTAAAGTAAATAGGTTGGGGCCCGTGGGAGAAGAGAGGACAGAAAAACAATGTGTCGACTACGAAGAAGAGAAAGAAAAAAAGAAAAAAGAGGAAAAACCAAGGAGCACAGAAAATCAGAGGCAAGAAAAAGTTGGCTGTGACAGTAGGATGGAGGGAAGAACAAGAGGCAAAAAAAGTTGGCTATGACAGCAAGAGTGGAGCCTACACGTCAACTGGACCCACTACCGGCTTGGCTGACTTGCCAAGAAAGTTGATGTGACTTAATCATTTGAACCACTACTCCGTAGTTGTCAGGTGAACTCTGTAACGTGATCAACCACCCAACGCCTCATTTCGCCATCATGATGATGAAATATTTTCATTGATATCTTAACAATGCAATTAGATTTTAAGGTGATATATTATATGATGAAAATATATATAGAAAATTACATATAAAAATATACAGCTAATTCTGTAAATGTTTATTAAGCTTAATAACTCATCTGAAATATGAAATCTTGAATTAAGATAGATTCAGTGAGTAAACAGCTATTAAATTAGTAGAGATTATAATATTATCAGATTTATTCAGCAGTGAATTCATAAATATTCTGATAGAACTCTGAAAATGTGATTTAATTACTCTTTATAAAATCAAGAATCTACTTTTCTGATTAGAAATATAATTTTTAAATTCTTTAATCTTTTTCTTATTTAACTGTGATTACTGCTGTACAGCAGCTTATTCTTTCTTCTCTTTTTACTCTTAAGTCTTTCTTATATCTCTAAGCTTCTTTTCAATCTGCTGTTGAGTAGCTCTTGCAGTCTTATTTATATCTTTTACTACTTTACTGTTTAATAAGCTATCTCTTACTCTATTCTCTTCTTTATAATATTTATCTTCTTCTATTTTTTAAGAATAGTGTATTATAACTTGATATTCTTTTTATTATAAGTCTACTCATTCTTTTTAACAGCTTCAGAAGTGATTATTTTCTTATATATAATTTATATCTTTATTAATAAAAAGAACTGTGTTAATAATAAATTTAAAAAATCTTATAATCTTATTACTCTATTATACTTATAATATCTTCTCTCTTAATTAAGAGCTTACTGTAGCTATCTATTCTCTATTAGAAGAATCTCTTTATTAAGAGTAAGATTTCTCTCTGTATAAATTACTTAATTGAGATTACTAGATATTTAATAGTACTACTATTTAACTTACTTCATTAATTTCTGTATATTAATAATAGAAGTAAAAGTTCTTGATTAATATTATATATCTAAGAGAATATAAGACTGTATTATAAGCTTTTTAAAAATCTATTCTAAATTAAATAAATGTAGACTAGTAGTAGTGAATATAGATATAATAATTAACAATATAATTACTTTCTTTTATATAATAGTGTGATTCAAAGATTGCTTAAGTCAGTATAAAATTACAGGTGTACACCGGCTTCTTATATACTGTACACTAAATTAATTGATGACTGCTATGATCTCTTTACATTTGTAAGCAAGTTCAGAAGTGACTGTATTATTATTCAGTAATTGTATATTCTTTCAAATTATATTCTCTCTCATCAGATTCAGTCACACTCATGTGATTATAATTTACACTCTAGCTTTATACAGATTAGTGTACTACTAGTATTTATGATTATATGATCTATTTCTGATTCAGCTAGCATCTTATATACATTTTTACAAAGAAACTTTCACTATATTATATTACTTATTCACTAACTCTTCTCATTTTTTAATTATCTTCTTCATTATTATCATTATTGAATATTACTATCTTATCTAAGATTTCTATTTCTTCTCTTATTCAACATTATCTATCTGTTATTTATCTATTACATTATATATGTTTTTGATAATGACTCTTTATTCTTATAACAAGTGTTCTCATAGTACTCATACTGAGCAGTTTATTAGCAGTAAGAGTATTATATTATAAAATGTATTCAGAACTTGTTTATCTTCTAATAATTATCAGAATATACTATTATGAATAATATATCTTCTTTATCTTCTTATACACTTCTGACTCTCTTTTCTTCAGTGAGTATCTGATTATATTTTCTGATTATATTTTCTAATCATTTTATATAACTGTAGATACTGATATATGTATTTTAATTTATATGAAATCTTCATATATTAACAGATTTATATCTGCTAATAATTTTAATCTCAATATTGAATCATTGATTAAGAACTTGAAAGATGTGATAATAAAGAAATTATCTGTATTTTATATGACTGAGTCTTCTGTATTTCTCTCTACTCTCTCTGTTTCTTTCTCTGCTACTCTCTTTTAATCTTTTATATCTATCTCTGTGTCTGATTCTCCTGCTTCTACTATCTCTGTTTCTGTAACTCTCACTTCTGCTACTTTTACTATCTCTGCTTCTATTATCTCTGCTTTTATTACTAGCTCTCTCTATTTCAAGAAGATATTATATAAGCTTAATAAATTTTATTTCTCAGTATGTACACTTCTGCTATTCTTATCAACTTCTAAAATAATTTATTATATAAAGACTGTGTATAATATAACTATTTAAAGCTCAGTCACAGACACTGATTATTATATTCATTTTAAATATTTATAATAAGATAATTATTTATTTATATCAGAGAATCACTCTCTCTCTCAACAGTGTTAAAATTATAAGTCTTTTTCTTTTTCATCTTTTCTTTCTGATACTGATTTTCCTGTTCTTAGAGAAAATTATTATGAGTTTTATTATATATAAAGTCATGATATTCACAGATATTAAGAAACTTTTTATAACTGTAAAGTTCAATATTATGAGTAGACTGACCGTGTGACTGTGTCTGAGACCAGAATCAAACTTTACAGTTATTACATTGCTTAAAAGCATTACTTTTGATCATGATTTGTATTCATCACATTGATTTCAAATCATGTTATTTCAAATATTAAAGGTTTCAGATTCACTTTTCAAATAAAAATCTAGTCTCAGATAAAGAATATATTTGAATTCTTAGTCATATTTTCATTCTGATCTCATTATTGAAAATAGTATTAAATGAGATTATGAAATCATTTCTCACTTACATAATATTATAACATAGTGCTCATTTGTTGAAAATTCAATAGAGAGTATTATCAAATATCAGTACTTTTCTGAATACAGATTGTAATTAATATTATATTAAATGAAAAAAAATATAAAATACAAAAAAAATTAAAAAAATTAAAAAAAAAATAATAACAAGAAAAAATCACAACAAAAAAAAAGAGAAAGAAAAAAAGAAGAGAAAGAAAAAAAGTGAAAGAAAGAGAAAGAAAAAAAAAATAAAAGAAAAAGAAAAAAATAAAAAATAAAAATAAAAAAATCAAGATTACAGAGCTGTAGTATTTTCAAAATACTCACTTCTCAGAGTTTTTACAATGTTTATTATCAACTGTATATCTCTCACAGTAAGAGTAATATAACTGTGATAAGTCATTATCTTAATATCATCTAATAAATAATCAGTATATATCTGTATAAATGTGAATAATTAGAAAATATACACTTAAAAAGTGTGATCAGAGTGAACTCTGCTGTCACTTAAATAACATTAAGAACAGAACACTGAAATTGATGATTCTTCTCATCAATTTCACAGATAAGACATGCAAAGATAATCTTGAGAAATATAAGATTCTCTGACTTCTAATAAAAATGAATCTCACAGAGAGACTCTATTTTCATCATATCAGAGACTGAGTATTATTAAAAAGTGTTACTTTAATGCATATACACTTACTGTGATTATTTATTCTCTGTATATGTGACTAGACTGATCACTGAGATCATGAATTTCATGTTTAATCTCATTTGACCTGATCTCATACATTTCTTGACGTGAATCCCGCTGGGACTAGTCATCAAAAAAACATGTAAAGTGACTATATATCAGATCTTAAAATTAAATCATGACTTGAAAAAAATAAGAAAGTGATCTTATTTGATCTCATTTAGTCTCATTCTTGATATAAAGTTACTATTTTTAGACATTTTAAGATTTTTTTTTAGACTATTTTTAATTTTTTAAAAAGTAACACTTTTTGATAACACTCAAATGAGATTTAAAGTCATTTAAAGCAATAAAAATAATTTAAATTGAGAAGTGGAAATCATGATCTCATTTGAAAAATGTGACAAGAGTAGACAGTAAGTCTCACTGAGACAGTATGAAACTACTATCTAATGTTAAAACCGTGTAATGAGATCAGTCAAATTGATAATGAGACTATCAAAAAATCTGATTCTGGTCTCAGATACGGTCACACGGTCATTCTACATGTAACTGAGAGTTGCAGCTTTCTCACACTGCATAGCTCTCTCTAAGATACTGCTACTGATTTGCAATTCACACAGTCTCTCAGTTCAGCATGCACTGTGTATATACAGCTCTACATGCTGAGATCATCTTGATTATTATAGCCTGATGTGATACTCGCTTTTCGCGGGTCATGTTTCATTTAATTGAGGAAGGAGAGAACATGACTGCTGTTTTATTTAAGAGAGAGATGAGTAATTGAATCTTTAGAAGATAATTTAATTTCTTCTGCATTTGAAATTTGATTAGTCTATACTCTTCAATTTGAGAGTTTCTGAGAGTGTTTTAATAGTTTTCATATCAGCTTGAAATTAGTGATTGATTGAAGAAGAGAAAAGAGAGAAGAAAGAAATAAGAACAACTTATCTTTATAATATGAAAATAGAGAATTGCTGCAATCATTTATTCAAGTAACAAAGATCTGTTTTCTGCATATATCTCTGATACAGATTATATAATAACTGTATACAAAGAATATCAACAGTGCATGTATTAAATGAAGATGATGTTGCTATGTAACACTGTAGCTGTTTCTGTACATCTCTGAAAGCTGTTAATATTTTCTTTGAGTCTCTTTATATTTCATAAGTTAGTAATATATTTCAATGCACTTTCTCTTTCATTATCATTATTATTATCATCACTATCACTATCATCATTATCATCATTATCATTATTATTATTATTATTATTATATTATTTCTGACTGTCTCTTCTATCTTTATCTCTTTTTACTACTCACTGAAATTAATGATATTATCTCTCTTGAAATATTCTGCAGTTCTGCAGATCATCAAGGTGCATG